CTCAGCGGTGAGGGGCCGCAGCGCTGGGGTGTGAGGAGAGCGGCCGGGGAAGGGAGAGAGGGAGGGGAGAAGATGGCTTCCCGGGCGGGGAGCGGGGACATGGCCCCGTGGAGAGCGGACGGATCGGCCCGTGGGGCGCGGGGGGGAGAGGGGCACTCCCTGCTGTGAGAGGGGCATTCCTCGCTGTGGGGTGGGCTGAGGGTGAGGGGAAGCGCTGCTCTCCCGGGCAGGGCGGGAAGGCGTCTGTGGAGATGCCGGCTGTCCGCGGGGGGGGGCTGAGGGTGGTGGGGCTGGAGACCAGGCCGCAGGGTGCCCGGTAGGTGTGGGTACCTTTATTTACCTTAGTTAATACGTGAAAAATAGAAGAGTGCGTTCTGACAAACTTTTACTTCCTCTTTCACCAGAGGATTTTTAAGTGCGGTGCACCCGTCAGGCAGTGAATCCGACAGTGAAGGCGGGAGGTTGGGACGGTGTTACCTCCACATACCGGAGAGATGGAAGTAAAACCGGCGGAACAGAGGTCAGACCCCGTGTCAGCGGAGGGACAGCCCCGGCCTGGGCTCGCTGGGTCTTTTCTTGAGACAGGAGTTTTCTTCCTCTAAGCCCAACATCACGTTAGGTGCCCTTACTTGTCATGAAAGGTGGCCTTTATGAGGAAGCAGTTTGAAATCAGTGGTGAAACTAGGTCGTTTGGGCTCTGCGTAAAGCATAAATGTGGGAATACTTTAATTATACTTGCAGAATGAAAACCCAGAAGATCTCACCAGTAACTGATTTCCTCGTGCTTGACAGTTTACCGCACGGTATAAAGGGAATGAAATAGGAAGATGGGAGATCTTTTCTTCATCTCTTAATGAGAATCTGTTCACTTTGATGAGCATCAAATCTCTGTTAATTACTGTCAATAGAAATGGAGAGTAATCAATACTTCTCAGCATCAAGGCCTATACCAGGCACATCTGGAGAACCGAAAAGCAGAATAAAAGAAAAAGTCGTAGTACTGCCAGAGCCTAAGGCATAGAATCTGCACAGTTGCAAGTGTTCCCTTAATTACAGTGATGTGTTGTGCCATTTTGTAACTTATTTCAAGGTCAATTTATAGTAGTTTCATACTTACCTCATAACTTAAAAGACACTTTTTTTTTTTTTTTAATGCACTCCTATAGCTTAATATTGCAGGAAGGGTAAAGATAAAACACGCCATTTCTTTTAGACTTTCTTGGAATCTGCTCCAGCCATTGTGTTGAACTTTTCGCTTGACTGCATTCCTTGTAGCAATACATTCAGTGCGCAGATTCGTTTTTCTCATGCAGGTGATTTGCATACCTCCTGCTTGGAAGGGCCAGATTATAACAGGTAAGGAGTACAAGGGTGGCTTATACCCATCTCGCTCACTAGGGGAGCTTAAACTGAAATGCGACGGGATAAAGAGCTTAGTTCTCCAAACCCTTAGAAGAGTACGTACAAGTTGCAACAAGGAAAGTTCTAGTTAACTATTACAAAGAAAGTTTTCACAATGAGGGTAGTCCAACATTGCAACGGGGCACAGCAGGATGGTGAGTCTCTGCCCTTGGAGATACTCAAAATTTGGCTGGACAGAGCTCTGAGCAAATTGATCTGCTTTGGCCCCGCTTTTTGGAGCAGAGACCTCCATAGGTCCCTTCCGACCTAAATTACTCTGTAACTCCATAATGGTCGATGTAGTAATCTTTGGGAAACATGCACATGAATATTTGCAGGCTGGAGTTTAAGACTGTTAAGAGAGCAGGTGGTGGAGTCTGCCAGTTAGGAGCTAAAACCCTGTTGACGTTATCAAACAGATTTAAAAGCAGAGTTTCCTCAGTTAGCAGCTGGCCTCAGAACTTACTGTGAATGTTTTTGCTGTTACTTCCATACGTATTTTCAGAAATTCTTTGACTGTTCCGTGTTATGTTACACCAGCATGAAGTTTGAATGCAGGTAAACTGCAAGCTGGTGATTGGATTCAGAGAGATTAACTGAAGCCAATTTTTCCTTGGTTTAGGTGTTTTCTCAGCCATCTAATATTACACTGGAGACATTATGCTGCCCAAGAGAAAGCATGCAAACAGCGTGAAAAGGAATATCCGTGTGTATTGTTTTCTTACATATATTAGCTGGGTTCCTTTACGTGATTTAAAATGAGACAATACAAATTATGGACAATTGTTTTAATTTATAGCCTTGTCTCAGTTAAGGAATAGGGCAAGTTCACCTGACACAACTGAAATTATTTTTACAGTGAATATTAGCAAAGAAATATGTATCAGCTATTTCTATTCATCCAATTCATCTAATTTTTTTTGGCAGCACGTAAAATCACACATAGCCTTTAAATAACGTAATGTTCAGCAATTAAATTCTTACTTTCTTTGGAGTAACTAGTTTGTAGCAAAGAAATAATACAATAAAACACAGAGGCAAAAGAGGGATTTGCTTTGTAAAGGCATCAGCTTCCTTGTGTGTGGATTTCCACTAAAATTAGCTCAAATTTCTATAGACTGTCATTTAGACTGTAGTAGCTTCCTTTGGATGTTGAACTGAATTCATTTTGCTACCAGCTGAGGTCATTATAAAACAATTTTGTTTTATTTTCCCTGCTCTCAAGTGTGCTTTAGGAGATAAGTGAAAAAAGAGTAAAGGAGAGTTCAGGAACCGTCAGAACTAGAGATTTATGAGAACTGTCTGAAGACTTTGATGACCTCTGTGTTCCACCTAGTCAGGCAGCAAAATCAAAACGTTTCCCCCACCTCAGACCAACATGGACTGGGACTCGTGGCTTCCATGCTGAACCCAGCGTGGCTGAAAAGCAGCTTCATGTTTACTCATCATCTTTTTTGTAAAAGGACATTAGCGTGTCCTGACCCTCGATCTTCTCACTCCTCGCTTGGCATGTTTTCTGATTTTAGTTTTCATCCTTCTTCAGCCGACTATCTAAAATGTGTGGAGAAAATAATGATGTGAATTAAGATCAGTGCCCTCTATTTAGTGAAATGGGGTGCTTCTAAAAGCGGTTAGTGGTTCTTACAAAGGAATAATTTCCTTGCACACTTCAAGCCAGCTTTGTTTTATGTGAAAGAGTGGATTCTTTAGCTCCTCCTTTATTTACCCAGTGCCTTTACAATTCATCCCTCCATTCCCCTCAGTACAAAAGTGAAATATGCTATTTACATTTTAAACTGCAACTTCATCATGCAAATTCTCAGTCCCTGAACGAGATGGGAAGTACGTTATACTTCATCCCCCTACCAGTGCACAGAGTCTAAGTTTGTGTTTGTATTCTTTCCCTCAGAAATAAAAAGCAGCAATTTCAATTGCCCAAAGGTTCTTTTCCCAAGACATGTGCATTCATATCTGAATGAAACTAATGTGCAAGGGGATTCCGCACAACCCATTTTAAATACAGGAAACTTTCCAAGCTTCCTCCTCTTATTACAATGCAAAAGCACTGACCGTTTTTTTTTATTTATTTATTTTGAATACTGTATCGTAACAAATTATAC